AAAAAAAAAAAAAAAAAAAAAAAGGTAAAACAAGCAAAGACTTGTATAGTAATACTTACTAATTTTCCCATTAGTCAGTTGAGAAGTTTTTCTTTTTTTGGGTTTCTCCCAATGCCGTAGAATACGCTCTTTACGAATACCTGGTGCTTTTATATAAAGAGGCTCTAATACCTTGTTGTCTTCTATGTTTTTCTCACAATTTTTTGCTGAAATATGGGCAGCATTACTGTTCAATTTCTCTAAATAATCATCTAACTCATCTGAAGCATTTTCGAGATGTCTTTGAAAAATATCTCGACACTCCACACTATATTTGCTAAGATGAGTAAGATTATAACAAGTTTGCATCATACTATTGGTGTAAACAATCTCAGATTCTGAACTTCTATTCATAGAACAACTTTGGGTTGGCAAATTTTTTATTCTTTTCCTCGCATCTTTAGTCCATCTTCTCAAAATATATTCCTTAGGGATTTCACAAACTTTATTTGACGTATAAATCAACAGACAATGTGCACATAAAATACCCATAGATTCAAACTTCTTGCAAGTGCATGTCACGTGTAAAGTTGTGTGATCCAACTCAACAAACCAACTCTTACTTGAATTATGCATTTTCACTTCATATTTGGACACGTGGCCATCACAATATACTTTTGCCTCAATAAAACATGTTCCGGCTCCTTTGAGAAACTCTTTCTCAAATATGTTGTAAATCTTATGAGTGTAGACTGCAGAAATCTGAGTTAAAATTGGACTACCTTTAACAACAGGAGTAGGCTTACCCTGTTTACATTTGAAGTCCTCGTGTTCTTCACTCANCCAAAAATTATATTCTGCCAGTGATGATTTATTCCAATAAATGGTGCACAAATCATACGATACTTATTTGTTCGATATGTGGTATCAAAAGACACAACATCCCCAAATATCTCATAGTCAATTCTAGATCGACCATCTCTCCAAAAGAAATTAGCTATACGTCCTTCCAAATCAAGTTGAACATCCCAATAAAAGAGTGTCTCATTTGCTTGTCTGTTATTAAATTCATTAACAACACTTTGAGCATCCCCAGCTTCCACCTTAGATTTTATCAACTGATGTATAAAATTAAAACAATCCTTCTTTGAATAACCTAAAACATCAACCCCTCCAGCTTCTTCTGCCAAGTAAGAATAAGTTGCAGTCGGCTTTATACCAGCATTAACCATATTTTCAATCACTAGCCCTTTGGTTTTAGTTATTCAACGAGCAGATCTTAACAAGTGTCTCTTTTTCGGTGAAGCCATCTCATGATTATGCTCTTTAACAAATCTATCAACCATGAAAGGACTATTAGGAAATTGGCGCTTAAAGCTTATTATTGCAGGACAATTTGATCGTGTATCTATGTGACTACAAGATGTCTTACTGGGTTTCCTTTGCCTTTCATCCTTTTCCCCATGCTTATAGCACACGAATCGTTTTTCTCTTATCACTACACCACCTTAAAAGTAATATTGTTTATCCTTCCTTACACTGAAACCTTTAGAATGGGCATATTCACAATATAAGGTATAAGCTTCGTCCTCATCCCTAACAATTTGATCTTTCATTTTCTCCTCTAATTTAGTTATGTTATTTTCTGAAACTTTCTCTTCTTCTATTTTCTCATCATCCTCTTCATTTCTAATATCTTCTAATGACTCTTCATGACTCTCAATATTGTTTACCTTCTCAAAATTTGACATTCTGATATTCCTAAAGAAGAAATAAATTTCTGTAATACATATGACAGGATAAAAAACAGAAACATTTATACAATTATAATCGAATTTAGCCAGACTCATGTAACACAATATAAAAAGACCAAACTAATAGGAGTAACTGATAAAGGATCTAACACTTCCTCGTACATTTGTTTATTATAATCCTAAATACTACATATAGAATTTTCGTTTCTACACATTAAATGACGTAAAAAGCTTTCCTAAGTCCTAAAGTCAAACCATGAGTATTTGTTTTACCATTTTTAAGAGTACCGATACTTCTGATTTTTTCAAGTACCAAGACAAGTAAAACAACGAGGTTTTCAATCAGCGGCAATGGAGAAATAAAAACAGTGGTAGAAACAATATGAACAAAAAGTATTCTTTGAATTCTTTCAATATGCACATGTTCCTAAATAGTATGAACTAACCTGCTATATACCAATTCTTTAACTCCCAAATCAGTAGTAATCTAGAGAACTTGGAATTGAAGAGCCGCACGAATAAAAGAGAAGGCACGTTTACGGCAAACCTATATTTTGCATCATTATATTTCTGTTATTATGAATTTAATTCCTTTTTAAATAATTTTATTTATTAGAAATAAGACTCCTAATAGCCTTAGTTTATCTTTTATGGTTAACTTAACTAAGGTGGGTGTATACACCCGGTACGGGTAAGTTTTTACCAATATTTTGTGCTTCTGTCATCAAATTCAGAAAAATCTTTAATATATACTACATGCATGATAAGATATGGTAAGCTATTATAAATATGTAGTGCTTGCCCTTGAATGATTAAATTTATTCTCTAATCAGAAAGTAAATTTTGATATTGATTCGGCAATTGCATTGTTTAATGAACATTCACTTGTTGGACAGTATGGTGAGTAGACATTAGCAATATAATTAAAGAAATTACTTAAATGGCACCAGATTCAATTACTTTGCTAGAAAGGATGTCGTGTCGCAGTTACCTTGTATTTCACAATATAGCTGATAAAAGGTTTTATTTTATTACACTACTAAAATTTTGATGCTAAACTCATATACAGATTTCATAATGTTTCTACCATAAATGGAAAATGCGTAAGAGATTGTAAAGTTTAAATTGGGATAATATTTATGTTTCACCATATACAACCAAATTATTACCTCAATAAAAGTGTGAACACTATATTTCCAATTATGTGCACTTATTTATATGTTACCATGTCTGGATATGATAGATGGATTTTCTTTGTCCTAAGAGTCGGTCATGACTCATGACTAAATATATATATATNCAAAAGAAAGTGTATTTTAGGTCTTGTCTGAAGAATGGCTAGGAAGAATATCAATGAGCGTGGAAGTTCAGTTGTTCTTCAAGAAAGGATGGAAACTTTGTTTAAGAAAGCAGAGGAGCTATCCATTCTATGTGGCGTAGAAATTGGTATTGTTGTTTTTAGTCCTCATAAAAAAAATGCTGAATATGAGTGGCCATCAAGAGACAAATTTAAACAACTCTTGATGAGGTTTCTAGATAAACCACTAGTAGAGAGGCTTAAGAAGTTGACAACACATGAAGAGTTCCTTAGGAAAGAGATAGAGAAGAATGTGAGAAAAATTGATCCGCAGAAGACTGAAGAAAAGGAAATGGAACAGTTATTTAAGCAGTTATATCATGGGAAAAAGACTGTCTTTGAACTGGATAGAAGACAACTTATAGGTGTTCGCAACTTGGCTATAAAGGCGAAAGAGAAGGCCGTTGAAAGGAGAATACGACTCCAATTACAAGATCAACGTCTTTGGTTACCAATTGATCACGTACCATTTCTAGTGGCTTCACTTAATGTTCCGGATCAACGTCTTCAGTTACCAATTGATCACGTACCATTTCTAGTGGCTTCACTTAATGTTCCGGATCAACGTCTTCAGTTACCAATTGATCCCATACCACTTCGAGTTGCTCCACTTAATGTTCATGATCAACGTCAAATTCTTCAGTTACCAATTGATCACGTACCACTTCGAGTGGCTACACTTAATGTACAAGATCAGCGTCTTCACTTACCTATTGATGATCCTTTGGCACTTCGATTGGCTCCACCTAACGTACAATATCAACGTCTTCAGTTACCTATTGTTGATCCTTTGAAACTTCGATTGGCTCCTCCCTAGAATTAATGAATATGGTTAATCTCAATCAGAGTATTAGCGCAGCAACAATAAAAAGTTTATTTGTGCAACTTCATGATGGAAGCTTCATAATTTTTGCCAATAGGAAAGCATACTTGTGCAACAATCAACATATTTGATGTGTTCCATTTCTCTTTATGTACCTTTGCTTCTTTTGGTCTCTTATTTTTTTTCTATATAGCAACAACTGTCGTTCAAAAGTCACTTTAAAGTTTTAGTTTTACAAATGAAGAGTAGTGTTATTCCAATTTATGTGAACCTATTTCTTTTTTGTTCTGTTCCAAAAAGAATGACCCCTTTCTAAATTTGGTAACAATTTAACTTAAACTTACAATTCTACATTTAATGAGAAGCTTTTATAACCACACAAATACTTTGAGCCCCTTTTTGACTTGCTTAGGACCACAAATTCCAAAAATCTTAATATTTTCTTAAACTCCGTGCCCGGTCAAACAGGTTCACATAAATTGGAACAGAGGAAGTATAAATTTTCATATGCAAATTGTATGAATACCTAGTTATGAATTTTCAAATGCAAATTGGCCAGATTATTTTCTTCAACAAAGAGATCGACTACATGCTACAATATTTATCTAGGAGAAACTTACATGACATGGCCATCTCAGGAGCAACACACTTTTGCAAGATTCAGTAATATATCAGAATATAAAGCAATGGCATTTTGTTGTACCTAACATGGATGATAATTAAACATCGGAAAAGGGCCAAAAATGTCCTTGAACTATTCGAAATAGCTCAAAAATATCCTCTGTTTGTTTTTAGTGCCAAAAATATCCCTGCCGTCTATGTTTTGGACCACAAATGCCCCTAAGCCGTTAGTCTTGCCATTGAAGCTGACATGACAGTCCAACTAAGTTAGATTTGCTTACATGGCCATCCACCTAAGCAATCTAGCATGGCAAAACTATTTTTCCGGAAATTTTTATTAAAATACAAAATCAACATTTATTTCGAAAAAAGTAAAAAATATTCAGAAAAATTATTTATTTTGGATTTTTTTTATTAAAATACAAAATCAACACTTATTCCGAAAATAGTAAAAAGATTCCGGAAAAATTATTCTTGATTGGCTTTATGATTTGATTAAAAAAACTCCATTGTTCTCTTTTGTGAATTTATGATTAGTTTGATCTAAAATTTTAGATACTTATCAGTTATAGCTTCACAAAAGGCACACTTTTACTATAAGTATCAATTGGTTCATCCGAAGTTCTTATAATTTATGGAGTTTTCAAATTTTTAAAAATTCCGAAATTTAACTTTAAGTGAAATTTAAAATTTTCATGGTCGAACACTTATTCCGAAAAAAGTAACAAATTTCCGGAACAATATATTAAAGCACGCTCCAAAATAATTTATTTTGTATATTATATATAATATTTTAATAAATAAATAATTTTTCTGAATTTTTTGTACTATTTTCGGAATAAGTGTTTATTTTGTATTTTAATAAAAAATTTCAAAATAAATAATTTTTCCGAATATTTTTTACTTTTTTGGGAATAAATGTTGATTTTGTATTTTAATAAAAAAATTCGGAAAAAATAATTTTTTCGAAAAAACAATTTTTCATGCTGGATTGCTTAGGTGGATGGTCATGTAAGCAAATCTAACCTAGTTGGACTGTCATGTCAGCTTCAATGGCAAGACTAACGGTTTAGGGGCATTTGTGGTTCAAAACACAGACGGCAGGGATATTTTTGGCACCAAAAATAAATGGAGGATATTTTTGAGCTATTTCGAATAGTTTAAGGACATTTTTGGCCCTTTTCCGATTAAACATCCTACATGATATTGAGATGTATCTTAAAACTACAATATTATCTTGTTATAATCCCAGGCACTTCAAATGATTACTAATTGTTTTTTTTTTGTTTTTTTGTGTGGCTAAAACGACGAGATATATATTAAGCGTGAAATTAAAAGGAATTGTTACAACATGGGACCAATTTGAACGATGCGGTTCCTAACAAGTCTTTGAGGTAATTAAGGAAAGCAAATAAAGGCATTGTGCTCCAAAATGTGTCTTCACGTTCAACATATCCTTCCAACATCTGTGTGCTTGCATAATGTGCTAGCGCGACTACTAATTGTTATGCATGCTAGAACTTATTAATCATGTGGATATGGATTATCTTTTCTTTTCTTTTTTTAATGTTGCTCAAGGTCATGTTTTTACTCATCTGGTCGACAAAACATTAATCAGCTAGCTGATATTCACAAATTAGTGAGAAAGAAGTTATGAGTTAATTTAAAGTAGATATATTAGACATGATCTCCCTATGTTATTTTCCTTCTTAATTTCAATTTAAAATATTCCATGTGCATAAATTTATAACCACTGTTAACTTGTTATAAATAGTGGAAGAACGAAGCATCGTGTTTCTCCTTTCATGCTGTAATAATTCAAATCATTTATAATTGTACCATTCCATTAGAAAATTAACAAATACGAATATCCAATACCATCTTATGTTTCCTAAGCTTTTGTAATTCAATCATCAAATTGAGAAATTACTTTAATTCTACGTGATTAAATATGGTAAGCTATTATATAAATGTATGCAGCACTTAGCTTTACATGATTAAATATTCACTAATCAGAAAGTAAACTTTGAAATTTATTTGGCAATTGTTTTTAACCTAAAATTAACTTTATAGGTAAAGTTAATTAAATTTATAATTGTAGGTCACAATAACCGGATTGACCCACTTTCTCAAATATAAATTACAAGAGTTATTAATAATTGCGAATAAGAAAATCAAATATAAATTAAAAAAAAAAAGAAGAAGAGAATTCTTATTAATAAAGCTAGATCCTCTTCCTATAGACCACGTTCCGATTTACTTGAGTACAGTGATAGTGATAGAGAGAGTTGTAAAATGACTATTTCATATACGTGGGAGAAGTAGGGACTTAAATAGCAAAATTATCCATAACCATTGCCCTAATATCTCACCTTCCTGTTACCCCACTTAACTGTGTTTTTTGCATGTCAAGTTGAGGATGAGTTATATACTAAATTCCTTTTTTACTCGGGATTAAACGATTCCTCTTTTATTTATACTCGTGAATATTCTCGGAAAGTAATTTCGATAAGAATGGTCCAGATATAGAATGATTCTCGGCAGGCTTGGATGGTCTTGGACTTATCCTTTCCACGACCTTCTAACATCACTAAAAAAAACTGAAATTAGCTACGAACGCCATCTTTAATCTACTGCTAAATCGCTCGTAGTTAGCAGAATTTATTGATAATCTGTCGCTAAGTCATCGCTAAATGAGATTAGCGACAAATTTTTCCGTTTAGCTACAGAACTTGTCCGTCGCTAAAACCAAATTTTTTAGTAGTGCATAGTGTGATAATTCTTAAGATGTCTTAAGATTTTATTGGTCGGGTGAGTCCATTCTTTACTAATAGAGAAAATTTCCCCACTTTTAGAATATTCTCTAATGTATATTCGAAAAGTGGTAAGAAGCTTTGGCGGGAATTAAAAGCATGTCTGATACCTCGTTTCGAAATTTTAGTGACATGTTCGAGAAGTGAAGCGACATGCGCCGTTTTTATTTAATTGAGACGCTTAGCATGAGGTTGATGTTGAAGTTTGGCAAAATGCCAAAGTCCCACATTGGTTGGGAGTTAAGTTTGGAAGGGATTTNTTGGTTTCCATTAGTAACGGTTTCTCAAGCACTGATGTCTCTGTGACTTCGAAGTGATAGGCCCATTATAATGGTTCCATGATGACCGTTCCTCCCTCTGTAAATACGAAAACTTCAACCCTGCCTCTTCACTCCTAGTTCTCCTACGAACATGCCCCTTGCTTTCTCTTTTTCTTTTTTCTTTCTCAAATACATGGTCTACATGTATCATCCACTCTTGGGTACAAACCCGCAATTAATCCCTTGATATAGGCTCTTTGCCGTTATTTCAATGTTTGCTTGGCCCAGATAACCCCAATTGTGTAGAGGGTCGTGGCATGCTTTTGTTTCTTATCAAACTTGACTTCGGTAAATTTACTCTTTGTTACCTTCTTTATCTTTATTTTTCCATTCTCGTGTGTTTATATATAACAATCGGAAAAATTGAGTTGTCATCGACCCCGAAGATGACCATGATCGTGGGTGGTACAGAAGGTTCGTGCTCATTACCTACTCGTGAGTTGATTCAACCCTACCATCATCCATTCCTGGGAAGTGGAACTTTGTCGTAAATTTCGTTATCCACTATGAAGTATCATCTCTCTCTTATTTGTTGTTTTCTCATTTTATATCATCTCTCTTGTACCACAGCTACTGCAGAAATAATTGGAGAGGTCTCGGAATTCACTGGTTAGGTTGAAGCCATGTTGTCTTCTGCTCTTATGTAGCAAAGGACATCAAAAGTTAAGAAGCCTGGTGAGTTTTCACGATATTTGATATCTGCTCGTCTGCTTTCCCGTATACAATCTTATCTGTAATGCCCGTTGTTGTAGGACTTGGTTCAAGGAGAACTCAATCTAGAGTTTTTATTGAAAAGCCCACAATTAACGAGGCTCGGGAATAAACCTTGAGATTGGCCACTTTGAAGCGGAAGAACAAGGAATCCCCAAGTTCTGCGTTGGCGGATGATCCCACAAGAAGAGGACTATATATAGCAAGATAAAAACCAAGGGACTAGGCGATAGCTAGAGCTTTCCCTAAGCTAGTTCCACCGATACTCAGTTTCAACTTCTTGGCGAGCTTGATAACGTCCCTATCCTCGCATTGGAGGATGATGAGGGGAAAATTTAGAGCGTGATGTTGGCATAATACATGCACCAAATTCAGAGTCGGTTGAAGCTTTGTTTCGGTTGTTCCACTGGTGAGAACCCACCTCTTGAAATACAGCGTTTTGTGACTCTCCCTCTTTCTTTGGCTCCACAATCATTGCACAATATTTCTGTTCATGAAACTAGTGGTATTTCTAGAGAAGTGAAGATGCATTGGGTCGTGATTGAAGTTCTTGAGAACACCAACCTCCTGAAATGTCTTGAGAAAACTTTCCCTTGGTTGAAGAAATTGATTGACCCCCGTGAGCAACAGAAGATTAACTCCCTTTGTACAACCAGTTTGGTCAATAATATGGTCCATTGCACTCTTTGGATATGCTTCCTCCTTTTGTACCATATGTATTTATATCCTTTATATTACAATGTTTGATACAACTTTGGTACTAAAATGTCATTTGGTTGGTATGGAGGTATTGAAGAGGATTACCAGGTACGAAGAGTCCATTGCAGAGCTAATGGTGGATCTTGGTGACTGGAAATCTCTGTGAAAGCCTTCAAGAGGAGAAACACGCTTTGGAACAGCAGGTTAAGGCCATTTCCAACCTTGGCCCCATCCCCCATAATGGGGGAAATATTTGGGGGAATTTAGCTCCAACCCTTCCCCATTTTTGTCCCCCAAAACGGGGGATGAATAGTGTTCCCTCAAATATGGGATACACTATTCACCTCCCCCATTATTATTCATCATTTTTTTATTATTATTTTATTATTTAATCTTTTAATTTATCTTTTTATATATACCTAATTATGTTTATGTAATGTATTTATAATATTAATATTATATCTTAACTTTGGTGTATAATTTTAATAAATTAATTTTCGTGCATTTATTATTTTTATGTAGAAAATGGCAGTAGATGAAAATCAACTATTTCAAGAATTTTTATTTCGACACAGAAGAATTAAGGGCAAAGATGCTCATTTTGCACTTCGTAATGCATTAATAGATCATTTATGGGAGAATACTAGATGTTGAAGTTGAATATTTATCTAGTATTTCGAATGAATTTTATCATTATGTAATATGTATTTAATTAATCTTGTATCACAATAATTTCACTTTTATTTGAATTATTAGTTAATCTATAATAATTGCTTACAAATTATATTATTTAAAATTTTATGGAATTGTTTTAGTTATAAAAATTACAAATTAATAAAAATAAAAGATGGAATTTGTTTAATGGAAATTAAAAAATGAAATGAAATGAAAGATAATAATATAATATAGAAGAAAGAGAAGAATATAAAAAAGTTTGTGGAAAAAATGGGGGAATGGTTGGAGTAAGTTGTCCCCAAAATGAGAATTTCCCCATTTTGAGGACCAAAAATGGGGTAAAGGTTAGAGATGCCCTAAGAGGGTTACTTCGAAGTTGGTGGCGATGAAGGCAGATATAAAGCAAATGGAAGTTACACCAAATTCCCTTCTAAGTCAAACGTAGCAAATTTCTAAACCTTTAAAATGAAAACTTTCGATAATAAGTGCCGAAACGCTCCCGGGTCATCTGATACTCGACTTGAACATACGCCAAGTCTGAAATCACCTTGCAAACATATAGGAACATGCAAATCCCGATTTTAAGGTCGTTTCCTCAAAAGTCAGACCGTGGTTATTTCTTCCAACTGAGTACACGCGCAAGTCATAATACATAAGGTAAAGGTACTCAAGGTTTCAAACCACCGAACGACATGCTAGAGCTCAAAACACTGATCAGGTCGTTACAAATAGCCTTCCCTAATTAGTTTTCATACTAATGATTTGTCTCTGGAATGGTTTCTGCGATTCACTTCATGAACTTCTTTCATAGCTCACTCGGTTTGTCCGAGTCCTAAGCATTTGGCTAAGGGACCACTATATATTCTTCGATATAACTCCGATCCCCTCCTATGAGGCAACATCAAGATGCTCAAACCGTTAATTGTCGTGACTTATTTTTATCTCTAGGTAACACTCTGTTCTGGAAGTAATTCTCAAATTCATTGCGCTAATCCCATGTAAGGTTAATCGAATGTACCTCATTCTTTTCGTGATCTAGTACTGAATGGAACAAATGTACTGTTGTATTATTTTTAGAATCAGTGATATATGTTGTTAACCCAAGATAGCCAGGGCATCGACTTCGGCATTCTCTTCGCAGGGTATTTGAATAACTTTCCATTCCTGAAACTGATTCAGAAATTTTTTGACTCTCTCGTTAAGTATTGTTGCATTCACGTAGGTCGGGTTGGTTCAGATTTTATAATTACCAAACTAAAACAATTGTATCGGGTTTTTAAATCTATATACCAAACTAAACCAACAAAAGTCGAATTTTTCAATATCGGATTTTCTCGGGTTTCTCGAGTTTTTCAGGTTTTTCGTTCCGATAAACTTGGAGGCTTATTTCAAACCTCCATAAATGCAACAAATTCGGATACATAGATAATGCACTACTCTAAATTAAAGTCATTCTTTTAGGTGTTTCAACCAAAGATAGTAATGATCACCACTCAAAATTTATACAACGATTGTACAGCTATATATATATATATATATGATAATTCAAAAGTCCAAGCTTCCACACTGCTTGCTCTATAAATTTTGTGTTCCATTAGCTTGTCTCAGTACTAACAAGCAGTCTTTTTTGTACAAGAACTAGTAAGAACAAATATAATTTATTACATGCCAACAAGAAGGAATACCGAAAGCATAGCACAAAGCTTACTAGATTATCACAATCCTGGTATTGCATTGATAACAATACAAGAGCAGTACAGGGGAATTATATGCATAAGAGTTATCACATAGGATCACTCAACTTTTTAAGAGTAGACATTACACCCAAGAGTCTTAAAAAATAAACAAAAGGAGAATATATTAAACTCTAAGAAGTTGGGCATCTTAGTAGACATTACAACCAGAGGAGCATGTTTCCAAAATACTTGTAAAGGCATAATGACCTCACTTCCAAAAATAGTCATGAAGCAAATTGTAGTTAATCATCCCTCTAATCAATCCTCAAAGGTGAGTCTACATATTCTGAAAATAGAAGAAGAAGCAATTAAATATTAAATAATATAAAAAATAACTATACTCATTAACAATTGAATATAAATTATTACCTTATTCAATTTGCTCAATTTTCTGGATTTCTTCTAACATGTCTTCAAACTTATATTCCAAAGAAGGTGATTGTATCCATTGTTGAGTACAATTAAGTGCTTCCACTGTTTTTGGTGATAAAGAACTCCTATAAGAATCCAGAATTTGACCTCCTGTACTAAAAGCCGACTCCGATGCAATAGTAGAAATAGGAATAGAAAGAACATCCCTTGTAATCCTTGAAACAATTGGATATTTACTAGATGAAACTTTCCACCATGTCAAGATATTAAAATCCTTGATCTTCACCACGTTATCCATCAAATATATCTCAAGATCAGATTTTTTTTATAGTATTTCCCTCATCTTCCAAAAGTTTCTCCCACTTTGATTGCAATAAATCACCAACTTCACTCATACTAGTATCGCCTCCAATATTGTTATTAGAATCCTCAAAAAAAGAATCATTGTAGTTATTATACAAGCGATTTAAAATGCTTATCACATATTCAAACTTTAATCTTCCCAATAAAGAACCAAATGCATCAGTAAGAATGAAGTTCGCATACTTCATCTTGTATCTAGGATCCAACACAACAGCAACAAGCAATAACATACTCATATCCTCAAACTTACCCCAATATTTCTCAAGCTTACTTTTCATTCTTCCTGCCATATCTTTCAAAGTACAATCATCACTTTTGGTATACTTTATAATAGCATTTCGAAGATTGAAAAATTCATGGAAGAAAGAGTTGGAAATAGCATATAAACTGCCTGAAAATTTTAAAGTTGTCTGATAGAAAATGTTAATAAACTTGATAAAAGCTTTCACATTCTTCCAGTCGTCTGCAGATGGATTTCCTCTTAAAGCACTTATTTCTCGACAATACTTTTGATACTTATGGTCATCCACATACATTTTTGTAAATGCTTTTTCAAATTTTAGAGTTGTATCTAACATTGTATATGTGGAGTTCCATCTTGTTTCAACATCAAGACTTACAAGACCATGAGTATCTATCTTAGCTTTCTCAACAAATGACTTGAAAGAAGCAAACCTTGAAGGAGAAGACCTAACATATTTTACCGCATTTCTTACACGAGAAATAGGCTCAATTTGTTCATCTAACTCATCTTATACAATCAAATTTAAAATATAAGCATTGCATCTAATATGCAAAAATTCATTTTCAAGTATTACCCATTTCCAATCATCAATACGCAACTTCAAATGCTTAATGGAAGCATCATTAGCACTTGAATTATCCAAGGTCACTGTAAACAAGTTCTCAATGCCCCAACCAAATAAACATGCTTCAATTCCCTTTGCAATAGTCTCACCTTTGTGATCCGATGTTGGAAAAAAGTTCAAAATTTTCTTTTGTAGATTCCATTGATCATCTATCCAATGTGCAGTGACAACCATATAAGTTAAGTTTCGTAGTGACGTCCATGTATCACTAGTGAGATATACACGTTGGTTCTTAATAAGATTTTTAAGTTTTTCTTTCTCTTCATGATAAATCCTCAAACAATGTCTAGCAACAGTTACACGAGAAGGTAATTCAAAATTAGGTAAGGCTTTAGCCATTAATTTCTTAAATCCTTCTCCTTCAACAACTCTAAAAGGTTGCTCATCAAGAATTACAAATTCGGCAATCGCCCTCCTAATGTTATCCACATTATACACTACCCTTTCAGTAGCGCCCGAACCACCTTCTAGCCACCCTTCTTTGATAGGTTTTAATGTTGTTTGTCTCTTATCAATGACTCTAAAAGGAGATTTGTGACATGTAGAATTTAAATGCGACCATAATGTAGTAGTCTCATTCTTGCTACCTGCAGCAAATGTTTTAGGACAATAATTATATTTTGCCTTACATTTACCTCTTTTAGCAATAAATTTGGAAAAGTGATTCCAAATCTCGGATGTCTCTCTGCCACTATTCCCAGATTTTGAATTTTCTGATGGAGTCGTTCTTTTTTGCTTCTTAGGAGGAGTGCATCGATGAGGAGTGTATTCGCTTTATTTTTGAGCTGCCACCAGCGAAGGATTATTGACAACCAGCTCCGCATCTGCTCCAGAAGTTGTAGTTTTCATTCTTAGAAAGAGTTCCTGCAAATAGAACATATCCAGTTACTTTTTCATGAAATGCCAAATGAAAAAGAGAACAAAAAGAAAAAGGAGAGAAAAAAAACACCGGACAATAATAGTTTTGAATTTTTAGAAAAAACAGTTTTGAAAAAGGGATGAATACAACAAATTTGCTAAATGAAAACTACACCAAAAGCTAAGGCAATCATAAAAAGAAACCCTTATATTTGTGATGTGATGCCTGGTTGATTGAATCAACAAATGATCTTGGTTTCTAAATCTTAAGGAGAAATAGAACTCTGGATAGGCAGCTAGTGATCTTAACTTCAACAAAGAGCAGAAATATATAAAATTAGATGTCGTAATTTGTTGATTTCTTATCGATGAGTGTAGGTTTCTTATAGATGAGAGCAAAAGAGAGCTAATTTGATTTCAATTGTTAAAGTTTTTTAGAACAACTTTAGTTAGGGCACTCTAGTGCTTTAGGATTAGGCTTTGGTTTGGGCTCATTTATTCTTTTATGGGCCAAACAAAAACAAACATTTACGTGGGCTATAATACCAACTTAAAATACTATGCTAAATACAGAAATTATAATAAAAATTAAGAAATATTTATAACTTACATTCTAATAAATATTTTTATCTATCTAATATATAAAATATGTATACATGTAATGTCAGGTTGGTTTGGTTTCGGTTTGACTTTTTTTAGTTAATACCAAACCAACCCTATTGTGGTCGGGTTTTGTTTTTCAATACCAAACCACTAGTCGGATTTTTTTTCAGGTTGATGCGGGTTTTCGGGTTGGTGCGGGTTATCGGTTTGGTTTGTACACCTGTACCACATATATTCCTTGGACTTGGTTTACCACCAGTTGAAAGTCACTTTTATTTTAATATGTTTTATACCAAGTTCTCTAGCTAGCTTGAGCGCTGCAATTATATCTTCGCACTCAGCTTCATTGTTAGTGATAGGAATAACATTTGATCGATTGCCTAACTGCTTCCCCAAAAGGTGCTATGAGCATTATTCATATCATGTACCCTTTACATTGGAAGAGTTGTTCCTGTATAAGGTTCAGGTCCCAAGGTTTGTCACATAAGTTTTGTTCTTTTACGTCCTTGAGAAATATGCCCAAATTGAAGTCATCCCAAAGTCTGTTGAGATTTGTGATTAATTGAAAAATAATATCGTACTCATTAACCTCGATCGCTGATTTGGAAAGTCAACCTAAGAGTTCATATTTATGCAAAATATTATGTATTAAAAAGGTTGTAACTATATAGGACAACATTGAAAATATGACCTAGTTTTTTTAGCAACCACTATCAATTCTAATGCTAAATTTTCTAGGTGAAGATATCTAGTTTTTGCGTCTAGTAATATTTTACTGACGTAATAAATACTAAGAACACACTCACAGAGACTTTTGAGACTACAAGATATCCTAGTAGTTGTTCTCCTTCCCGTGGTTTTGGAAGTAATTGTGGGTTGGACAAGTACTCCTTCAAGGTTCTCAATGACTACTGAATTCCAGTGTCTCGAAATTTTTTCGTTTCTTCAACACCGAGAAAATTTTTAAACTTTTTCCCAAAATCTTGATATGAATCTTCTCAAAGTTTTTATCTTTCATGTCAACCTTTGCACTTTCTTCTTTCTTGTAAGAATGTCCAGAATTTCTTCGATGGCTTTGGGTTGAGTTGGATTAACTTTGATCCCCTTGTTAGAAACGAAAAAACCTAAAACACTTACCCGAAACAACAGTGAATGTGCATTTTTGGGGGTTCAACTTCATATTGTATCTTCAGAGGATAGCCAATGTTACTTTTAAATGTTCTAGATGATCACCGGTTTGAGTCGATTTTACCAACATATTGTCATGACCCAAAGTACCGTCAATATTCATGGTGGCGTCTAACCCGCTCGCTAGGCAAGTGAACTCGATAACAATCATATTTTCGAAGCAGATTAATCAAATCTCTAACAAAATTCATAATATATTAAGGAACAGAAATAATCTAAAAATAATAATATCTCTGCTTACATTTTCAAAAATATTGTAAAATATGTTGATTTAAATTAAGTAGACTAAGGGGATGCCCTTGGTTTAGAGATATATCATGTCGGGATTAGTAAGAATTATAATGTTGAAACTAATAACGGGGAATTAGGTATGTAGAGATTAGTAATGCAAAAATTAGAACGCAACGATTATTTCTTGTTGAATGTTTAGTTTGTTATAAATATAATATATGATTTAAAATATATTCGTTAACTTTTTAAACCAAATAAAATTTTGTTTACTATTAAAATGGTTAAATTTGTCATTTAAGTGTTTTTAATCCATATATTGTCAATATTCGCATTCTTATTCAATTCTATCTCATATAATATAATATATAGATCCTAACATAACTTATGCATATATTATTTACGAGAACAACAAAAGCAAGCAAACATGGTACACCTACAAAATGTTGATGGACTTTACTATTGGGATTAAATCACTTCAAACCTCAACCAAAGGGTACCAAAGTATATATATATATATTACATTATCGGTGTAGTCTGACCTATAATAGTTTCCAGGGTACTTGCTATTTTTATCAAGCTAATATTTACTTTATCATAGAGATTTACTGTAACGATCCGATCGGTCATTTTGAGCTTTTGCACCTTGTTCGTCAGTTCTCGGGCATGACTTGCCCCGTGTGAGCGATTATGACTTATGTAAATCGTTGATTTTGGGTATTCAGGGTAATCGTAATGAATTTGGAAGAATAGTTCTCAGTTCGAAGCTTGAAATTTGAAAGGTTTGACCAAGATTTGACTTGTTAGTATATGATCTCGGATCGATATTTTTATAATTTGGTTAGCTCTGTTAGGTGATTTGGGAATTAGGAGCATGATCGGAATGCATTTTGGAGGTCCGTGGAAGGTTTAGGCTTGAATTGGCGAAATTGAGATTTTGGCGTTTTCCGGTTGATAGGTGAGATTTTGATATAGAGGTCGGAATGGAATTTCGGAAGTTGCAGTAGTTCCGTTGTATCATTTGGGATGTGTGTGAAAAAGTTTAGGTCATTCGGGCGTGGTTTGGTTGGGTTTTTGATCAAAAACGGAATTCGGAAGATTTTAGAAAGTTTTGCTTGAATCCGATGTGTTTTGGTTGATTTGGTGTTGTTTGAGGTGTTTTGAAGACTGATACAAGCTTGAATAAGGTTTTAGGATATGTTGGTGCCTTTGGTTGAGGTTACGGGGGCCTCGGGTGAGTTTCGGATGGTCAATCGGACCATTTCATGCCTTGAAGGTGTTGCAGATTTGCAGGTTCAGCTGTTCTAGAGTTTTACCCTTCGCAATCGCGTAGGGGCTCTCGCGATCGCGTAGGGGCTCTCGCGATCGCGTACAGCTTTCTGAGGGGCAGTCCATTTTGTTCAATGTGTTCGCGAAGGATTAGTTTCGATCACATAGAGGTAAGGAAATTGTTTATCGCGAACGCGTAGGGAAGGTCGCGTTCGCGTAGAGTTATTTGGGCCTGGGGTGTTGGCTTGATTTTTTGTTCATTGCGAAAGCGACAGTGGGTCCGCGATCGCGTAGTGTAAAAGGTCTGAGCATCGCGTTCGCAGGGTATTTTATGCATTCGCATAGAGTAAATTTTGGGAGCTGAGTAATTGTGCTTCGCGATCGCGAAGGTTTTCCTGCGATCGCGATGAAGGAAAAATAAGAGTTGGGAAAAATGTTTTAAAAGCTCATTTCCGAAAATTTGAGGCTAAGTTCCTCTATTGTTGGTTAATTTTGAAGCTTTTTGAAGAGGATTGAAGAGGGATTCAAGGGGAATCACTTGGAGGTAAGATTTTTGAACTCAATACTCGATTATTTTGTGAATTCTATCTAATTAATCATGGAATTAATCCTAGTATTGAAGAATTAGGGCTTGAATTTGGAGAGTGTAAAATGAGGATTTGATGGGCCAGTTGAGATCCGATTTTGATGTTCTTGGTATGTATAAACTCGTGAGCGGATGAGGATTCTATTAATGTGATTTTTATCGGATTCCGAGACGTGGGCCCGGGGGCGAGGTTTGAGCAATTTCGGGATTTTTGATGTAAATTGGATATTTTCGAGTGGGCTTCGTTCCCTTAGCATATCTTAATGATTATGTACTGATTGTGGATAAATTTAGAGCATCCAGAGGTTGATTCGTGCGGGAAAGGCATCGTGGGCTAGAGTTTGGAGTGGATCGAGGTGAGTAATGATTGTAAATGATGTTCTGAGGGTTTGAAACCCCGAATTGCACATCGTAGTGCTATATTGAGGTGAGGCACACGCTGATGACGAGCGTGAGGTTGTGCACTATTGGGAATTATGACGTGGTCCGTCCCGATTGATGATTTTACCGCGTATTTGATTGAAAATTATTTGCTATCATCATTATTTGGGCTAAATGTCATATTTGGGCCTAGTGCCAACTATTTGAACCCTTCGGGGATTTTTATTGATATTTCCTTACTAATTTAACTTTATACTTGAACTCATTCATGTTATTTTTCGCTGATTTCGTACTCAGCCGTGTTTACTCAGTTTAATATTTAAATGATATTTTTAAATGATATTTGGGCTAAGAAACACTATTTTACTATTGCTCGAGTGGCTTGTGAAGATTTTTGACTAAGTAAGGCCGAGGGCCTATGTTGTGAGGAAACACTGATATTGATTTGAGGCTGAGGGCCTAAGATATGTACGCCACGAAGTGGCTTGATTGATATGAGGCTGAGGGCCTAGTGATGATGCCACGAGGTGGCTTGATATTACGCTTGGGCCGTAAGGGGCCCCTCTAGGAGTTTGCACACCCCCAATGAGCGCGAGGTACCCATTATAATGTGAGATATAGCTTAAGGGGCTAATATTGTTCTATGTGATTGCTCGAAAGGCTTGTATTGTTCTATGTGATTGCCTTAGGGGCTGGTATTGTTCTGAGATATTGCCCGAGGGGCGGATTGTTGACAATGTGCCCGAGGGGCGAACCTTATGTGCTTATCTTTCTTATTTTCCTGTCATTTACCTGTTTAATTGTGTATTTGTGCCCGAGGGGCGGATTTTCTATGCTTATCTGCACTAATTGTTTTGCATTCATTTGTGTAACTGTTGAAAAGTCATTTTCAAAGAAGTTAAACTAAGCTAAGATGTTTTTAAGAGATTTTTCAGTTTCATTTCTTTCTTAGTGGTTTTGTACTACTTCTATACAGCATGTTGATGCACTTTTCATGATTTCTTACCATTCAAACTTTAGTTATGATTATTACTCACTGAGTTGGAGTACTCACTTTACTCCCTGCACCTTGTGTGCAGATTCAGGTATTTCTGAGCTCGATAGCAGGTATTGCCTGATCGGAGGCAGAGTCATCGGAGTTTAGCAAGGTAGCTGCCAGCATTCATAGTACTTC